CACACACACACACACACACACACACACACACACACACACACACACACCATTGATTATTTAAAAGCAGGAAGGGGGCCAGTGGATTTGACGAAGATGATTCACGAGGGTAGAGTGCATCTCTGTCATGGTGAGGAAGAGCGCTGTAGCTGCTTCTGATGGGTTCATTAACGAGCCTCCGTCCTCCCAATCTCACCCCTAAATCACCGCCATCACTCACCACCGTGCATCCGGCCCGCGGGGCCCCCTTTCTCCGACAACTGAGCGAGCAGTGAATGAATCATACATCGGAACAGATGAGCTCTGAATTATCCATCGTCGGTGGGCACACGCCGCCTCAGGTGTAGTGCCGCCGACTCGGTCCGATCACGCGGCTGTTGATTAAAGTCTGGGCTTACAGCAAGACTGAACCACCGCCTTAAAACCAAAGCACCGATCTGGGAGAGGCTGCAGAGCTGAGGGGAACTGCAGACTTAGCGATCGTTCTTTGTGTGTTTATGGTCAAAGTGGTTAAACACACTAGAGCTGTATTTTGTTTATTCATCTAATCTCACAAGGAAACAAGCATGCCGTGTACAACTACGAGTAAATACTTTAAAAACACGTCCGTGTCTATTCTGACCGTTTGCACAACTCCAGCAGGGCTAAAGTGAGATTGAGGGGGCTGCTGGTTACAACGCACCCGCCTCCTCTCTCGTCTCTGTTTAGCACAGTTCTGCAGCATAATGCAGCTGGAGTGCATTTCTGTACAGTCTGCTTTAACCAAAGGCAAAAATAATGCCCACTGGGGGAGGGGAGGGCATTGATTAAACAAAGCTTGAATCATTTGCATGAGAATGTATTTTGAAAATCTGCCATTAAAGAGCTTTCCTTTGATCTCAGAAAGTTAATTTAATATTTGTGAGCATAATTAGCTGTGTACAACTTTGTGGAACTGCCTCATTAACAACAAATAACAGCCTGACACTGTGGACTAAAGTTTATGTTCATTTGCACATTTTCACAATGGACCGCCGTAGTTTGCAATTACCTCAAATTTGGAAACTTAAGCACGAGTGAACATGGACATAATAGGCAAATATTGTGATCCTATCACAACAGGACATTGGTATGAAAATGATGGAGGAGCTCGGATGACTCCTGTATGTAAATTTGACACCAGGACATTTCTTTCCGTTTTGGCAGCCTGCAGAGCTGAAACTCTGCACGGGCGGAGAACTCTCTCACGGGAGATTTCAACCTGCCGCGTTTCTAATGGAATCAGCAAAAAAAAAAAAGAAAAAAGTAATCTTGTCCAGATCGTCGGAGATGGTTTCCAGGCAACTACGGCGCCCGGGATTGTGTCTAAAAATAGTCTCTGCACAAAGAGCTAAAATAACACACCTTAAAGGAGAGAGCTAAAAGTGTACACGGACGTGTTATTTTCAGTTACTGTTGGTAATCTAAGGAGCCAAAAATACAATCCCCTCTTCCTGTCACTGTGCGCTTTTGACACGAGCTGTAACGGGAACACACATTCTGTCATCTAGCCGTGTGACGAGGACATACATCGTGCCGCGGCGTCGCTCAGCTGTCCGCTCAGTTTTCTGCACCTGACACTCATCGCCAGCCTCGAGCCACCAACCCCTCCCACAGGAACACACACCTAAATAACCAACAGACTGAGGCCGCGGCCTCGCCCCCCAAAACACACATCAACATGGGATGTTGTAGGAGCTTTAGCGCAGCAGATTCTAAATACAAAAGGAAGATTTCCAGCGTTGTGCTCACGATGAGATTCGTCAACTCACTGCCCTCTCTAAACTGCTCTCTCTGAGCATTAGATACTGAGCACACAAGCAAAATAGTTCCTCAAAGGCAGAGCGGTTAGGGAGGCCGAGACCTTTTGAACCGACTCGGATCTCGCCCGGGGGCCGGCTCTGATGAATAGAGAGCGGAGGGAAGCAGATGTGACAGCCAGGCGTCAGATTGCTTTAGTGGTCCGAACAGCTCAGAAACACAACATGACCGCTGGAGCTGTGGCCTCGCGTCGTGATGCACCAGTAGCGAAGAGGGGCTCAGCTTTTGAAAGAGGAAAACGTTGATGCTCTTCTTAAAAAGTACATGTCGGCAAAGACAGTGCTCAGTTTGGAGAAAGCTCACCCATATAAACCTCCCTAAAATCACACAAACACATTCAGCATCAATGACTAAATAACTGATGGACCCCCCCCTCACCTCATCCGATCCTGAGCCGAAGATGAGCAGGTCGAATGGGATGGCGGCCACCATGTCGATGAGGAACCAGCCTTTGAAGTAGTGGATGGCGATCTTGGCCGGGTGGCTGACCACCTCCTCGTTGGCGTTGACGTACGTGGTCCTGAAGTTGATGAGGATGTCCACGATGAACATGATGTCCACCATCAGATCCACCACGTTGAGGGGGGAGCAGGAGTAGCCGCACTCCCGCCTCCTCTGCTCCTCGATGTCGTTGAGGAGGAAGGCGGCGGAGTAGGGCGTGAAGATGGCCGTGTAGATGACCAGCAGCAGGATCAGCCAGTCCCACACGGCTTTGAAGGGACTGTAGTGAAGGATGGTCCACTTGTCCATGCGCGGTGTTTGGAGCTTATACTCAGGCAGCACGTCTGCACCCAGAGAGAGAACCTGAGGAGGGGGACGGAGGATTGATTTCACTGGTGTCAGTATTGTCTGATATACATATAACGTTGTGAATACTTCATCACCGAAGAACCCTTTAAAGTAGGAAAAAAGTATTTTCTCCACTGTACAGTATTTCTGCATGTAGAGGAGGTTACAGTGAAGAGCAACTGGATATTCTAAAACATGCCTTGTGGTTCAAGAGAATATGTTAAATTCAGTCAAATATTAATGCAGTTCAATACAAGCCAGCACGCATTAGCATGTCTGTGCCGGTTCATTGATGTGCGTGCTGGTATGTGGAGTTGCATTATGACACACGACTGAAGATTAGGTCAAGTAAAGGTTGTGTCTGTGGACGTGCGAGTAATCTGGCTGCAGGCGTTGAACTTCAGCGCCGGGACTTTACATCCTCATGCGCTGGAGCCTAAACTGCTAACTGAAAGAATACCTGGCATGAGCAGTACACTAGAGGCATGAATTTCCCACCAACCCCAAAATAAATCATTCATGCGTTTAAATGTAGGATGAAAAAGAAAGCTTGAAGAAAACCATAAACTCCTAACAGTGTTTTGCGTCGAGGATGGAGCTCCGATCCACGCCAGCGAGCCTAGAGATCATTATCTCTGCTATTACACTCACCATATATACCTGAATAGCTTTTAACCTCAATAATACAGCAGCGTCATGGACCGTTTGGGATAAGCCTCTCAATGACTTGGAAGTAATAATTGGAGCGGGCAGAAGATGCATCGACTCATCTAAGTGTGTGACTTTCAGGGCACGGCTCTTTCACTGCGGGTGACTGTAGCGTAGCGAGCGAGAGAGAGAGGGGTAAAGGACACCAGCTGGAAGGGCCGACAACAAGACAATTACCGCGTTACAGTGAGCGGGAGAAGGACGTAGAAGAGAAGACTCCGTTGCAAACAGTCACTTATAACGTGAACCCTGTTCTCTGCCCCGTTCACCTTCACAACCCCCGTTAGCGAGAGGGCCACAGGAGGATGTATAGCATAAAAAAAAGAAAGGCTGAAGCCTTAATAATTGAATGGGTTATCAGAAACTCCTGCCCTCTGTGCGATGTGGAGGGTCAAACGATTTTACCCTCTCATGACCTTTGAAATCGATCAGAAAGCAAAGGACAGAAACGTCTTCTATTATTCATCAGGCTGCCACTTCACTAAAAGCAGTTCCCAACTTTTTAACCCTGATATCCTCATTCGAAACCAAGCATTCAGCCCAGCTGGATCTTCAACTCCCAGGTTTACGATGAGACATCGATGGAAAGTTGCGGGCATCAAAGACTCGTGTGAGCTGGTCTTTCTTAGCTGGCCGGCTTCCTGGGCGAAGCCTCCATCTGCCCGTGGAGGCCAGGGGAGAGCCGGTCTGCTCGGGCGCTTTCAAATGAACTCGCAGGAGTCCGGAGTCGGTGTGAGAGACATCTGCTGTTGCTGTGTTCCTCACAGTCGGGCGTCTAGAGAACGGTTTACTGATCTAAACTGTGGAAAGATGGAGATCCTTCGCGATCCCCACAAGGCTCATTTATACATTTGTTACAATGATTATTTCATGGGGGGGGGGGTATATACCAGTACTAATGATGTTTGGTGATACCCAGCATATGTTTCTCAGGTCCTCTGGTGTGCCACATGTTACAAAATGCCATTAAAAGCACATTAACAGGCCTGATCTCTCTGCTGCTTAATGTCAGCGTGGTCTTCTGTGGCTCTGGCTCCAGTCTCAGGCCTGCAGCTGATGTTGCCTTTGAGTGCGAACAGCGGTCAACTTCTGTGCGCTCCGTCCCTTACACCTTTAATGGGCAAAACGCAAATCTGAGACCTAATCTGTGGAGATTTTATACCACGCTGACATTCAATTTAAAAAGGGGAAACACTACATTTGTAATGTTTTATGGGGATTTTAACATGGAACCTAATTTGATTAAGACCGCTTGGCTTGACAGATTTACTGCTGATGCACACACATCAGCAACGATGGATAGATTAAGTGTCGTAGTCGTAGTTTTTTTGGTGTTGTTGGCGGTACTTTAGTTTCCATGTGTAGTGCACACTTTAGTTTGTCTTTAAATATGTTTGCAGCGATTCCAATCCAATACACTTTCGGCCTGCTGTCTGTTCTGTGCGCTGGAAACAAAATGTAGTGTTCACGCACAGCACCCGGCTCTGTAAATTGAAAACAAACAAAGTGACACACAGCACTATTCCAGCCAATCCACCACCTCTCTGCAGAATTGCTGACTGCACCTTTGCTGATCTCTCGTAGAGGCCCAGAACTTATTGCAAAATAGTTTCATACGAGGGTTCATAAAACAGTCTTTTGAAACTCCACCTGTGGCTCCTCATGGCTGACAGCTCAGTCCTTCACTACCCAAAAGAACCTTTAACAAGGAGAAACTAAATAGACCAAAATAGCTAAATCAAAATATGGAAAATCAGGTTGACTATTTCTTTTCCAATCTGTCTAAATTACAGTACAAAAATGCCAAACTTCTGTAAAATGGATAGTTTTCTGATGTCTTACCTGCGTGACCTTGTCGGTGACATTGTGCGTGCGGTCTTTGACCTTCGGGGCGATGATGGTTTTCTCAGAGGATGGAGGGGAGGGGCACTTCCTGTCATTGTTGGCCTCAGAGAAGTTGAGCGTGATGAGGGGGATCTTGTTGATGGTGCTGTACTTGTTGAGGTTGGAGTCGGAGGTGGAGCCCAGCAGGCTGGACTTGATCTGGCTGAGTGGCCCTGAGAGAGAGGGCGACAGAGGGAGGACGGCGTCGGTAAAAGCTGCCACATCGTCGGGCTGTTGTTGATCTTGGCTTTCTGAATCGTGGCTGCCAGAGAGCGGTCGAGTTCTCTAGTGATCGTTGTGACATGGGAGGTGAGCATGGGGTGGGCTTTACTTTTGGAGTGAGTTAAACGACGACACAACACGGAGAACACAACAGATAAAATCTACACCCTCTGATTGAGCAGTCGTTTACATATTTTACAACTGAAATTTGTTATAAAAGAGAGAGTAAAGGGACTGGTACTGGTTCAAATGTGAACGGTACCCAACCCCAGAATTAACTAAATGCTTCCTCTTCATACGACACAATGTTCTCTAAAAGTTCACAGCATATTAAAGACTCTCAGAAATCAACTCCCTGCCTTCTTGTGAAACACTCAACACTGCAACACTATGTGACGGCACTACACACACACACCGACATGTGGCCCAATGAGAGTGATAAAAAGTGAAAAAGAGAGGATTGCTGATTCAGCCCTGTGAGCCAGCAGAGGACCGTGGCACAATTTTTTTTTCACAAAGTACAGTACAGTGGATTGAGAGCCAAGGACGGAGAAACAGACAGCAGAGGATGGGAGAGTGCATGCACAGCTCCAATGCATGCCACGGTGAGGAGACGTCATTGCAGTCATGAAAAACAAGTTCAAAAAGGAAAAAGCTGAAGCCATACCCCCGGCCATCCAGGAGCGAGACACTAGCAAACCGGGAGAGAGAAGAAAAGTGGGAATATGGAGGGGTGGATGGATCGCAGGGTCAGACACTACTTAAAACATCACTTTATAGCATCAATCAGGAAATTGAGCCCGTTTGCAGTCTAAATGATTACGTGTAGGAGGACAAGTTTTAGCATAAACAATTCAAATGGAAACAGTTTTCTCTTGGTTCGCCAAGACATCACAGCAACAGGGAACCAGAGGTTGCACAGAAGGAAACACGGGTTGCAGACAGTGGGAGGTTTCATCTTGTAAAGCTTCATTGATTCTCTTCAATGAACAAAAAGCAGAGAGACGTAATGTGTTGCTTCATGCAAGAGCGTGCAGAGGTCATTGTGGTGTTTGTTTTAAACAGAGCCTTCCCTTGGGCGACTTGCTCGGGATCAGCAGAGCACGAGCACTGAAACGCGAGTCATTTAGTGCTGTGCCCGTGTTTCCAGGCTCCGGCACGAGAGCTCCCAACGCGGCCCCGCCACGGCATTTGCATTCAACATAAACCTCAGTCGTGTGGGGAGACTCATGCAGCAGGCAGGCTTTTGTGCGGTGCACGTTATCCGGTGGACGTGCTGAAGTTTAACGGCTCAAGATGCAGCTGTTTGTTACCTTTAATATTGCGGCCATTGTCTGCGATGTCAGCAACACGTCACAGGAAGAAAAAAGAAAAAAAAAAAAGGGGGGGGAGCGAGGGGAGGAGAGAGAGAGAGAGAGGAAGTTTTTGGGTGAGTCTATGGTGACAAATGGGGGCTGGCGTCAAACTCCCACTACTGTCCCCATGAACAATTTATTCGTGTGAAGGAGACGTATTACAGTGTCAGCCACGGGGAGCTCTCTGGACGTGGTGGG